CAGCCTATATGAAAAAAAGGGAGCTACAACCTGGTTCTAAAATTTTGACAGTGGCCCTCCCCCCATAGTCATGTGACCATACTTTGGATGCTTGGCAACATGACATCACCGGAGTTGATGACTGAGTTTTACAATGGCTTAGCTGAAAAATCATTGTAAATGGTTAGCTTAATGGGTTAGCTTAATAGCCACAGTATTTACTTAAAAACTACTGCAAGAAAAGGTTATAAATTTGAGTTGCTTACATGATTGACTTGATTTACAGACATCATGACATAAAACCATAATGAAAAGCTCCATTACAGTCATATGTCAAGGACTATCTGTCAGGCACAAGGAGCCAGAATGACACTGAAAGTGATTTGCCTATTTACAAGAATTTAGTCAAACTATCTGCACTTACTATAGAATAACTAGCTAAGCAGTACAAGGTTTAGAAAGGGTCTGCTTTCCACCACTTCCTCTCTTTCAGTGATTCCAAGCTAGACAGTCTTTTAACTCCTCCCCCTACTTCAGCTGCAGATTCCACCACACTATTTGCAGCTTTAGACACATTAGTTTTCCTTATACCTGGCAATTCAGTTCTTACTTTTCAGAAATCTTTTCCAGGAGCCAATTAAAAGGATTGCAGTTTTAGTTTAATCTCCTACTTCTTTACAAATGACATATTGGATGGGGGAAGGGAGGGTATCATCACATTGTGGAACTTTGCTCACTTAGTTTGGATAGACTCCTTCCCTAATGTTGGCTTCAGTTTCAATTATTTCAGTACCTGAATAAACGCTTGAAGCATGTGGAGAATTTATGTTTATGTTCTTATAAATGTGAACTAGAGTTTCAGGAATTAACCTATTTTGCAATGATAATCTCAAAGAATTTTGTGGCTGGTTTGTCAAATCTCCAGGAACTTCCATCCTGGGTGAGTTGTGGGTCTATCACTGGGAGTTTTAAAGAAGAGATTGGACAACCATTTGTCTGAAATGGTATAGAGTCTCCTGCTTAAGCAGGGGGTTGAATTAGAATACCTCCAAGGTATCTTCCAACTTTATTATTCTGTTATTCTTCTATTCCAATATCATTGAATGAGATTCAGCCAGTTCACATTTCAATTTTTGTTCAAACATGGTAACAAATGGAGGAAAATCAGCTATAAAAGGTTCAAGTTATCTACTAAATCCCCCTCTCATAATTTAATCTGTGTTATTTTGATATTTTTCTCAGAACTTTTATATTTTCTATAGAAATCATTATATTATAACCCCCCAGGAGATACCAATTTTCATATGAAAATTTCAAAAGTTTATCCACATTTTTTATAAAATGCTGTTTTATCTTCATTTAGGATATAAAACAAAGTTTTAGACCCCTGTAGACTAACTTCCATCCAGACATATCTGCCATAGTTAATAGTCCTGAAGGAGGTGGTTCATGTAGAAATTATCTGATATCTTTAGAAATCTCTCTAATAGAGGTAGAATGTACATTGATCTGATATCCTTGTAGAACTGACAATGCAATAGGACACATGAGATATTTTCAACTTCCCCATTGTCACATGTACACATTCGCTCAGATATTGGGGTTTTATCATACATGCCCTGCAGGAGTGCTGATGGGAGGATATTAAGTTTGGCTCTAAAAAATGCTATACTCTTCTTAGGAAAACTCAGGTCTTTGAGATACCTTGCTGGTTCCCACATACCAAATTTAATCTGATTTCTGTTGTGGAGAAATATCCTGCTAACTTCTAGCTGGAACTCCGTATCTCTTATTCTATTGGTAACCACTTGCTTGGCTTGATCAAAGCCTAGGGATATTAAAAACAGTGGGGAAAGTCCATAGAAGGCCAGCCTATGCTCTAGCACTTGTTTCTAGTGAGAGGGGAAGATGTCTATCAGGACTAAACGGGTCAAGCTCTCTGGGAAGAATTGAATTTTTAATCAATAAATTATCATCATCTTCCAGGCCTTTAACTGAATTTGAGGCATTCCTGTCTTAATTCTCAACTGGGTATTTGATATCCCGTTAGATGCAGCTAAATAGATCACAGGAATTTTGTTTGTATGGTTTCTAAAAAAAATTCTTTAAATTTTTTTTCCTGTTTTGCCCCATAGACAATTTTTATCAGTGTTTTAGCCTTGAAGAGTTTTAAGGCTGCAGAGACCTTAATTGTCCTCTACCTGTGTAAAAAAAGTGTTTAATAGCATTTGAGGAACTAAGGCTGATTGCATTGTGTGGTCCAGATGTGCTTTCCAAATACCTTCCCTATGGAAAACCACCCCACTTGAATATATTGACCTGTTCTAGATTGTGTCCTTCTACACTCCAAGAATATTGAATAGCTCTTTTAGCAAAAACTAGAATTTCCAATTTATCAAAATTGAGGATCAGATTAATTTGTCTACAATATTTTAATGTTGCTGTTGTTGAAATAGCTCTCTTGAGTTTCACAAACATATAACATTTTATATTTTTTCCCTAATATTTATTTATTTTATGAAATTTCTATATTTCCCATCTCAGCTAAATGATTCTGGGTGGTTTACAAACAACAAAACAAATCAATACAAATACATGACTAGAACAAGAATAAAATTTACGAGTTAAAAGTGAAAATTAAAATTAAAAAATTCAGAAATCTAAAAAGTTAACAAGGTGGAGGGAGGGCCCTCAAGCCATCCCCAGTGTTGCATCACACTCTTAGGCTCCATGATAATTGGCCCAGCCAGGTTATTCATCTGGAAAACTCAAAGGTTAGACTTGATACACCACTGGGTCTTTTTCTGTTGTCATTTTTAAAGTTTCTATATTAAAATCAGAAATGTGAGGGGTTTTGCCTCATCTCTGTGGCAAAATGTTCCAAAAGGTGGGGGCAACAGCAGAAAATTATTTGACTAATGGGATTCACAGCCTGCTATCTCTGCTTAACTGAATGGAATGGGTTATGTAATTAGGATGATAGCTCGTAATGGCTTCTCAGTTATCCTGGTCCCATGCCATGAAGGTAATAAGCAACACTTTGAATTGGACTCAGAAGCAAACTGGAACTTAGTGCAACTCTTATCACAGAGGTATTATATGTGACACCCCAGAGGCACCCAGAACTGCTTATACTGATGCATTCTACATCAGTTCTATATACAGTATGTTCTTCTGGTAGATAAATTACATTTGTCAGGAAAAAAGTACTCTTTTATCTTATTATTGTAATTATGATTATTTTAATTGCAGTTACATCTGTAGTATCAATCCTCAATCTGGTAATAAAATGGTGTTGCAGAACTTGATCTTATTTTCATCCTGATGAAGTATACAAGAACATCCCTTGGAACATTTCATAATTTTGCAAAATGTCTGTTGATGCTTATTAATCTCTTCTCCCCAATTGAGGAATCCATATAGAAACTTAACAATATTTTCCCTAATCTCTCCACTTTCTTCTGGATTTGCTCTAAATTATAAATAAAATTCTTAGCACTAGTACTGATGATGTTACCTAATTTTGGAAATGAAACGCTTGCAAGAAAGCAGCCAAGCTCAGAGAGCACTTAGGATCCCTCATATTTTTTTTCTCCTAAGTTTCAATAATGCCAAATTGTCTAAACCCTTTTCCATCTCTCTATTTATAACTTCTGACTTATTTTCCAAAATTTTCACTTTGTAATTTATTTTAAATCTGCAGCCAACCTTCATTTTTCTTCACTTCTTCTTCTTCTATATCTTTTTTCATCCCTGCAAATCCTTCTTCCATATCTTTTTAAACTAGTGCAGTCATATTTTTAAAGCAAATTCTTCAAATAATTTCTGCAATGGCTAAAAGAAATGCCATTATTAGAAATTTGTTCTAGTGAATCCCTGTATTCTCCAGGTTTATTAACTTTTCTTGTGGTTGCTTGCTAAGAAAGTGAAAATATATCAGTTATTTTCTTGCTTCATTTTTTCTGCTTTATTTTTTATCTATTTTGAGTCTTTTAGTCTCACTTAGCTTTCTGTAGTCACATTCAAACAGTCAAGCTCATATTATTTTTATCTTCTCATTCACAGAGAAGTCTGATCAGTTACTAAAGTTTACTATTTTCAAATACACTTTCATCAAAGAAAAATAATATTTTGTAAAAATAATTTTACAAAAATCACTGTTATTTTTTCCCATTTGAAACTTTCTAATATCATAATCTTGTCAAGCTTTTTGCTTTCAAAATATTTTTAAGATATTTTCCCCTCTCATTGATCCTCACTTAAACTGCAAAGCAATTGAATCAGATGATTAAGAAGGTGAGTTTTTTGTCAGCCAAATGTCTTAAAAAGTTGCACAGCAATTTAGGTCATGTTTTTAAATCCTACCAAGCTCCTCTCAATCAACCCAAGAAACTAAATTCCTGTAGGCATTTTGCAAGGAGCAGCTCTTCCAGACCACAAATGGATAACTACATTTTCTCCTGCATCTATAGAAATTTTCTATCAGCAGAACCAACTCCTGACTGGCAAGTCCACTGTTACACTGTCTCTGCCATTCATAGAAACATCTAACTACATATCCATAAGCCAAGCTTGAATGACATGGATATGTACAGTATACTATGATAAAATTTAATTTAAGGTGGACTTTAAAAATCATTGTATTACATATTGATACTATGGAATAAACATAAACCCAGTTTCTGCCAAAATATCTTTAGGGATCTTAACTCAAGAATATATTATAAAAGAATAATTCCAGATAAAGATAAATAGTTGATGTACTGGGACCTATTGGAAAGATATCAAGAGAAATTTAAAATCAGAACAAGTTAACAATTAATAGCAGGATATGCTTGTTAATATTTTTTCACATTTACAGTTGAAATATTGTAAGATTAAAGATTAAAATCGATAAAAATATTTATAGTGTGGAACAAAGTAAGTCAGAATTTGAAATACATTTTTTCCTCTCCCCATTGGAAATCAATTAAAGTAGATCCCAAATCCCAATCTAGGAAGAAGAGGTAGGGAAAGATTGCTTAGAACAAAATTTTGGACAGGGCTCTCTTTATGTCTTTGTTTCTCATGCTGTAAACCAGTGGATTTAGAATGGGTGGGATAAGGGAATATGTAATGGTCAACATTATATCCAGATCAGATGGGGAATTTGAGGGAAGCTTCAGGTATGCGGGTATTCCTGTGAACATTAACACAGAGGCAACAATGAGATGGGGAAGACAAGTAGACAAGGCCTTTTGTCTTCCCTGGGCAGATGGTATTCTAAACACTGCACTCAATATCTTTATGTAACTTACCAAAATGAACATAAATAAACCTAATACTATAATAATACTGAAGGCAAGAATTTCAAATTCACCTTGACTGAAATCTGAGCAAGTGAGCTTTAATAATTGTGGGATCTCACAGAAGAACTGATTGACAATATCAGAGCAAAAAGGAACTGTAAATGTGCCAACTACATGTAGGGTTCCAAAGAAAAAACCACTGACCCATACACTAGCAATCATCTGAGCACATGTTCTCCTGTTCATCACCATTTCATACTGCAAGGGACTGCAAATAGCAACATATCGATCATATGCCATGACTGTGAGAAGAAAGAAATCAGATGTCATAAATGAAACAAAAAAGAGAGCTTGGAAAATACAACCAGAATAAGAAATACTTCTGATATTCATGAGAGAATTTGCTATGGATTTAGGCATAATGGCTGAAACAGAAGCAATATCCAGCATAGCCAAGTTCATCAGAAAAAAGTACATGGGAATGTGCAGATGATCGTCAAAAGTTATAGCTGAGATAATGAGAAGATTTGCTGTTACAGTTGCCAAGTAGAGGGCTAGAAATACAAAAGAATGTAGAATTTGAAGTTCTCTAATGGCTGAGAATTCCAGAAGCAGGAATAAAGGCACAGATGTCTGGTTATGCACAAACAGTTTCATACTCCTTACTAAGATGAATATATCATCTGAAAAAAGAAGAGAAAATAATTAAAAATACAGTTGGGGCCACTTTTTGAAAAATAATTATTTCTCTAGCTATTCACAAAAAGTAATGCTCAATTTGTATCTTTATGCTTCAGTATCAAATTATCTTCCATTGTATATTCATCTTTGAATAAACAAAAAAGCATTAATATATCTTTGAAATTTCATTTATAACTACTCTCTCATTACAATAAAAATCAGAAAGTAATAAAATAACTGAACTGAAATAAGAAAAAATTAAATATTCCATTTCCTGCACTATTGTGATCTTTGTAATTATAGATATATGACAGCAGGGCATCTGCAGAACTCTTCACCTTGATATATATTCTGATATCATCTACTGATTTAGGATGACAGCCTTTCCACCTCTTCCCATATTAACTAACAAAGACCCCAACACACCAAGATTGCTTATTCCTTAATTGAAAGTTTGGCAACCTGTGTGCCTGTATCTCTCTGTGTGTATCTATATATCCAATACATCTGGAAGCATCCAGATTGCCAAGGTTGCAGTGGATAAGTGAACAAACATATAGATTAGCATTTCCCAACCTGATAATAACAAGATAATTACATACTCTAAGACCCACACAATCTTCAAAGATGCTCTAACATGCTTTACTTGTCTGTAATTCAGGAAAAGTATCTACCATCATTTGTTTCAATATTATTACCATTATTACCATACATATATCCCAGTCAACAAAACAGAAAAAAAACAAATGCCTCAAATAGTCAGTAATTTGTTATTATTACAATTTATATCCATTATTAACTTACTATTTTTACTCTGTGCTTCTCAGTTTATTTCTGATGTTCTTCTTACACCAATAGTTTTAAATGATCTAGACAATAGTATGGCTATTTATACACGTTTTACTGTTTATGCATTAGATAAATGAGAAATTGTCTATTGTCTTGGGAAACAGACTTCATGGAAATGCCTGAAGAGTGAAACATTATTTAGAAATATACAAAAACACAGCAAAGAGGCTGGGTCAAGGTGAATAAACCCAACTGCAGTACATCTAATTATGCTGATATGTTCCAATAATAGGTGACTCTTTCCTTCTGTTTTGGGCAAAAGATTAATTATTCTTTTGGTCTTTATTTCCTTATTACACTATAATAAAGAACATGGACTAACCATTACCAGCAGAACATGTACTAATATACTACATTAGTAAGAACTAGTATGTAGTTCTTACAAGTACTGTTTACCAATTAAGTGTTCACTTAGACTTATAAAGCTAGGAAAATATGCATATAAATAGATCAATTAAAAAAACTTGGATAACTTTAAGAAAGTTAAGAAAAATAATAAAAATGAACAGTTAAGAATTTGTTGTGTTATGCTTGTATGTCATGCCTGGCTCCTTTTCTCTCCCCCCTCCAATACATAGAGTGGAAAGATTGGCTAAATATACTATCTTTTCTTGGGCTTCTTTTCTCCATAGCTGGGCTCTGTGATATTAATTAATTGCTGCCACTGCCACTAGTTTGTGCTGCTTCCTGAAACTGACAAGACCCTAATCAGTTTAACATTAAAAGCTTTATTTTGCCTCCTAAGTGCCTCTCCATTCAGCATTGCAAGTATGCTAAGCAAACAGTTGATGCTAAAACATTTCTTTCTATGCCTATTTCCCAATGTGTGACTAACTCTCTTGTAATCCCTGCCTCTCCAATGAATGTAAATACAAACATGAATTTCTTTCTTGCTGATCATTGCAGTGCAGAGGTATGCATTCCAAAAGGTGGGAAGGATGAGGGAAAAGAGTTATAAGATTTACTATTTTTATCCAGTTTCCACATGAGTCAAGTTCCAGAAAGCTTCCCGGCCATTTGAGCTCACCCGGCTATTCGGGATTGTATCCTTCTGACATTGTAAGTATATTCAGGGACAAAATATTATCATTCTGGCATCTCTCTTAGTATTCTTGCTTTTTGGTATCCATCTTGAAAAATCTAAACCAAGTATCAACACACACATTAACAGCAACAATATGAAAACAAACAAAAAATCAAGTCTTATAGATAAATGTGAATACCACAAAAGATGCAAAATAAAGTTTAGGATAATTCAAAGCAGATTACACCCTTACATAGAAAAGGAGATGCCAGTTATTTAAGTCAGTTTTAGAAAAAGTGATTCGAAAAGTATATATATATATTCAGGTTCCCCACAGGTTGGGGAACACGAAAAAACATCTGTTTTCCAGATCCGACCTCTCCTTCAAAAGTTAGGCCAGGGCCTATCTCGCATTTGTTGGCAAATAGCCAATTAAGCATGAAAAGTCAAAATTTGAAACTGACCTCAAATTCGAAAAGTATACATATATTCAGGTTCCCCACAGGTTGGGGAACAAGAAAAAACATGTGTTTTCCGGATCCGACCTCTCCTTCAAAAGTTAGGCCAGGGTCTATCTCGCATTTGTTGGCAAATAGCCAATTTAGCTTTCGAATTTGAGGTCAGTTTCAAATTTTGACTTTTCATGCTAAATTGGCTATTTGCCAACAAATGCGAGATAGGCTCTGGCCTAACTTTTGAAGGAGAGGTCGGATCCGGAAAATACATGTTTTTTCGTGTTCCCCAACCTGTGAAGAACCTGAATATATGTATACTTTTCGAATTTGAGGTCAGTTTCAAATTTTGACTTTTCATGCTAAATTGGCTATTTGCCAACAAATGCGAGATAGACCCTGGCCTAACTTTTGAAGGAGAGGTCGGATCCGGAAAACACATGTTTTTTCGTGTTCCCCAACCTGTGGGGAACCTGAATATATGTAGAAGGATGAAGGGGGACATGATAGCAGTGTTCCAATATCTCAGGGGCTGCCACAAAGAAGAGGGAGTCAAGCTATTCTCCAAGGCGCCTGAAGGCAGGATGGAAACTGATCAAGAAAAGAAGCAACTTAGAACTAAGGAGAAACTTCCTGACAGTTAGAACAATTAACCAATAGAACAACCTGCCTCCAGAAGTGGTGAATGCTCCAACAATGGAAGTTTTTAAGAAGAGACTGGACAGCCGTTTGTCTGAAATGGTGTAGGGTTCCTGCCTGGGCAGGGGGTTGGACTCGATGACCTCCAAGGTCCCTTCCAACTTTATTATTATTATTATTATTATTATTATTATTATTATTATTATTATTATTATTATTATTATTGTTGTTGTTGTTGTTGTTGTTGTTGTTGTTGTTGCACACTGGATAATTGAGAAACCAAAGTTACCAAAATGATGTGAATATGTGCTTCATTGATTATAAAAAAGGCTTTTGGTTATGCCAATCACATTAAATACATATAATGTGCTTAGAAACATAGTAATCCCAAACTTTTCATTGTCTTCATATAAAAGTTATACAAAAGTCAGACATAATATATCTAGAATATAATGAATAAACTGGTTCTAAGTTGGCAAAGGAGTGATAGAAGGCTGTACACTCCTTATTTATTCATCCTATTTTTACTGGCTATATACTGTGTTTCCCCAAAAGTAAGACCTACCCCAAAATAAGCCCAAGCTTGATTTTGGGGGGGTGGGCCTAATATAAGAGCTACCCCCAAAATAAGCCCTAGTTTTGGGGCGAGGCACACACCTTAAAATCAAGCTTGGGTGAGGGTAGGGATGTGGAGCTGCTGCACGCGCCCCACCCCCACTTACCTTGCAGCCAGGCCTCTCCATGCAGGCCATTTCTTCTGCAGCATCCCCAGTCCTGCATTTTGCAGTCAGAGGCCTTTCCAGAAGGCCACTGCAGCCAAGAACTGAGCTATAGATTAAATCCAGTGGCCTTTCAGAAAAGCCTTTGACTACGAAATGCAGGTGCAGAATGAAGCTGCTCCTTTGGCCGCAGAAGTGGGCCGGCTGGGTGGGTTGTCGGTGCCAGAGTTGAGTATAAAAAATATGCCCCCCAAAATAGGAGGCAAAAAAAAAAGGCTGGGTTTTTTTTGGGGGAAATACAGTATTAAGGATGACTAGATTGGAAGAAGATGTGTGGTTTTAAAATAGTGGAAGAAACATCAATAACCTGAGTTATGGTGATGACACTATTCTGATAGCCAAAAATGCAAAGGATCTGCAAGTAATATCTAGTAATACAAATTATCTAGTACAGGGGTCCCCAACCCCCGGTCTATGGACCAGTCCCAGGGCGCAGCATGCCAATGACCGGTCCGCACAAACAAGGAAAGCCCCGTCCATGAGATGCAGGCAGCATACAAAACCACATCTCCTCCGGTCCGCAGAAAAACCTCTCTCCACTTAACCGATCCCTGGTGCCCAAAAGATTGGGGACCTCTTATCTAGTAATAAAGACCAAGGAGCATGATAAAAAAAAATGGGCTGAAATTTTATATAAAGAATAAGGAATATAAAGAATAAATTAATAACAACATTTACAATAACTTGCCTTAAAAATAACAATGAAGACAATATAGTCTTCCTTTTAGGATCAACCATCATTAAAACTGAAAGCAGTCAAGAAATACACAATAGAATACCACTTGGTATTCTAAAGGCCTTGTAAAAGATATGCAGATATTATTCTATGGTGTGTCTATATTTAAAAAGATCAAAATACTGCATGTAATACTATTTCCTATGATATTCTATGGAAACAAATGTTGAACTTGGAAGAAGAAGAATAGAAAGAGTATTGATATTTTTGAACTTTGATGTTAGGGAAGATTGGACAGACAAGAAAGCAAATAGATCATTATGCAAAGATGTAACTCTAAGGAAAAGTCTGTAATGCTTGGAAAGGTGGAAAGAAAAAGAGGAAGAAGATGACAACAGGAAGGTAGATCAATCCAATTACAACACCAATGAGTATAACTTTGAAAAACCTGAAAGATCATGTTAGGCATAGATTGTCAAGTGGTCACTAAGAAGCAATACTGATATGATGGAGAAATATGAGAGAGAAAGAGTGAACAAGAGAGCAAGAGAGCGAGA